ACCCTTGGCCTTACTTATTCGACACATCATGTCATCCCATGAATTCACAAATTTTCATCGTTTTTTTTTCTGAACAAAAAATAGATTATCTAGCTAGAGTTGAGTACTACTTGCTACGTAACGTGTTTACTACAATCGTAGCATATTCATATAAATAATAATATACATAATAATACGTGTAATATAGCAGTAAATTTATATAGCGCTCGTAACGACATTTTAACACGACTGCGATCCCCGCGCGCTTGCTCCGCGACCCCCCTCCCAAAAAAAACATCAAAACTTGCGTCATCGTTTGCTTTTGCTGCCTGCAGAGGGCGCCATCCCGACGTCGACGGACATAATCGCGCCGGCTGGAGCGAAGCAGTTCCCGATGACGAAGAACCAGTTGCTGACTCCGCCCGACTACGATCGCGACATCCGCCATTACGAGTTCGACCTGAGCGGGACCGGCTTGAACTACAGTCTCGGCGACTGTCTCGCCCTCTACCCGCACAACGACCCGGCAGAGGTGAGCCGCCGCAGTGCACGGCGCCACCTGGGGGTGGTGTGCGTCGGGTTTTACGCGTCGTTTCAGTGCGAGTGCGATATGATGTGATTGTGTAACGGTTTTTTTGTTATTGTATGTTATTGTTTATGTCACGCGCACTTATATTAGTGGCGTATTGTTTGTACGTTATGTTGTTTCGTATCTTACCATAACCCTACAACATGTGCCCCCCCCCTTAACTTTAACCAGCTTCTCCAGATTAACAAAGTCGTATCTAACCCTAATGTAACGTACAAATCTTAGAGAAATTAGGGCTTACTCTACGCCTAACCCTACAACTCGCACATACCCTAATAACTCCACACTTCACCCTAACCCTACAACCCAACCTACTCCCTAGCCTTACACCTCACACCTCTTCCTATCCCTATCTCTACACATCACACCTAACCTGCTAACTTAACCCTTTCTTGTCACCATTCTTCTACAGGTAGTAGATCTTAACCCTTTCTTGTCACCATCCTTCTACAGGTAGCAGATCTTAACCCTTTCTTGTCACCATCCTTCTACAGGTAGCAGATCTTAACCCTTTCTTGTCACCATCCTTCTACAGGTAGCAGATCTTAACCCTTTCTTGTCACCTCTGCAGGTAGCAGATCTTAAACCTTTTTTGTCACCAT